CAAATGACCATCTTCACCAATCGAAAGCCTCGTTTTTGCTGTCTGTTTGAATTTGCTAAATCTAACAAGTCACCTTCTTCTGCTAAAAAACGAAGAACACCGTTAGGAGCTGACAACCTATACAATTCTGAATAATTGAGCCAAATTTTTTCTTTCCTAATGGATCAAATCTGCAGTCAGCTTGGAGATATTCGAATCCTAGTGTAGGGGGAAACAAATATTTTTCTCTCTTCCAATATCTATAGTCCCGATTTTGAGCACCCTGTTAAATGCGATGAATAATAAGGTTAGGACATAAGACACATAAATGAATAATTGATTTTTCCAACATCTTAGGTAGAACTTCTGGCAGTTACCATTTGGTCCCAAACTGTTGATAGCTGCTGAGTTAGAATCAAATCCCATTTGTAGTATACTGTGAAGCTCATTGTCCCATGCGGCCTGTGTAACCGAGAAGATTTCTTAGTTAATCTTCGAAAGAGGAAAGACTAGGAGCAGGATAATGACATCTTGATGCTACCTGAGCCATGGGATTCAATGGTGGAGTTGTAAATGGGATACTCAAGGAGGTTCCTTGTGGAATTCCCTGGGGGAAAGGATAGGAGGAGCTCAATCCTGGTCCAAATCCAAAAATAGCTGCATTGCTTCCTCGTGAGTGGAGAATCTACCAAAAGCGAAACGAGCATGAAATTCATAATCCCCACTACGCATCAAAAATAATAATGTGTTGATGAACTTGTGCACTTCTCTACCATCAGTGTTTATATTCACTTACATCTTTGGTCAGAATCCGTTCTATATCATCGTTCAGCTCCGGATTCACAGTGGCAAGTTTCATTGACAAAAACTGTGAGAAAAAATTAAGTACATATTTACAACATCATCGGATAAATGTAAACAGAACAGTTCAATTACATTTGCCTAGGATTTGCGGATAACCATATATCATGTTCTGCTATTTTAGTATGATTTCCTGGAATTCTAAAGAATTAATAGATGCTGAGAAATTGGTCCTGCAATGATTAATGTCTTTTCATGAGCCCATTCATTTATATTAGTTTAGTCACAGTAACACGACCAATAGTACCTCAGGTCTGTTTTTATTGACAAAATCAAATAGAACTACAATCGAGTTTACAGGAAAGACTTCTACAGTCGAGTTTACAATTACCCAAATTCTAAAGTATGCCCAGTGGATGCATATTTTGAACTACAATTCATCCTTAAGGTCCGAATCTACCATGGTGAGGCTGATTCATTGGTATTGTCAGATGTATATCCTCAATTACAAAGAAAATAACAAATGATATCCACTAGAGATGCAAATTGCATACCTCGACCTGCTGTTGCAGCGATTGGACATAGTTGATGATTTCATCGAGCATTACCGCTTTCCCAGTTATCTTCAATCAGAAATAACAACAAAATTAAGTAATAATAATTGATTAATTCAAAGTATTAAGAATCAGAAGCTAGAACTTAGCCAGTTACCTTATTGCAGCCCGGAACAAGTTCTTGAAGCAATCTCATCCGCTCACTAATCCTCTCTCTCCTCACCTGCAAGTCAAAGAGAGTAAAAGACTTTCAAGGTCATTTTAGATATGAGCAACTTGAAAATTCAATAAAATTAACTACATAAGATTCAGAAGATACCCTTTCCGCGAGGCTATGACTATTCGTAGCCTGGCCTCGTTTGGCCCTCACATGAATGTAATTTTCTTTAGGAGCTTCTCCACTGTTGGAATTATCCTTAGCTTGTTTACTTGTTTGCTTACCGCGCAAATTGGCACTAATGTTTTGTTCAATTTTTTGCTTCTTTTCTTCCTGTTCTTTTAGACATTCTGAACTGTCCTTGGAAGACTCCTTATGCTGCTCTCGTTCGGCATTCTATAACGAATAACAAAGAATTCACCAACTGGGGTATGACACAACAAAAGTGCCACATTATCGCTGTAATTCAACAGATAATTAACAATTCTAAAGACAATTTACCTTATTGGTGTTCATAGGAGAAGGGGAATTTGATGCTCTCCTTTTCCTCCTTCCATTAGGTGATGATCCCTCTTCTGAAACTTGGCAGTTCTCCTGACAATCTGCGTTATTGGTTGAGGTATTGGCAGTGCCACCCTCCCTGTTTCGGAGATAATTTATAGGGCAGCCAGAGTTTGTGATCTGTCCACTCTCAGGTAGGCCAAAGGAACTGACCATTTCTGAGAAGTTTCCACTTCCAAAACTTGGAAGCTTTGGCACCATATCAACAAGACCCAAATCAGATGGGTAATGAACAAGGTGGGAAGAGCTATCAATTGCCTGATTTGTCAGCAAAAGTGGGAAGGGTGGATTGGCAACGTCAGTGAGAGGTACCATTGAGGAACCTCCAAAATTCTCACTCTGACTCATTGAAAGTGAATCCCAACCAGAACCAAAGAAAGGGTCTGCCCCATTTGTAGATTTTATTATGGCCCCTGAGCTCATTGCTCTTCCTAAAATCTTCCCAGACACTGAAATTGGGTTCATTCCAGAAGAAGAGCCTCTATGTTGAAAACCCATATCACCATTATCTTCGGTACCCATGGTCACAACACAACAAGAAAAACCCAAATCTATGGAACTCAACCAATACACCTTCAAAAAGAAACCCCAATTCAGTACTTAGGATAAAGAGGACTTGACAGTTACTCAACAGAAGGAACTATATGACTTAAAGAAAAAGTGAGTTTGACCAAAAATAGCTGCTAATATCTTGCAAGACTCAACAAGGAACAAACAACCTAGGCAGCTTTATAGAGCTGGGAAGGGTTTAAAGCAAAAGAAGCCCTCCTTGCAGAACCCTATAGACACAAAGAAAAAGTTGAAATCCAAAGTACCAGGCATAAAATCTACGCATCAACAGCTACTTACCGCTACTTTCAAAAAACCATAGGATTAAGCCTATTTTGATATGGGGAAAAGTGAATCATAGAGACAAGAAAGTGTCAACCTTTCAGAGCATAAAGTAGAGAGAAGTGTATGGCATTAGCTGAGTAATAGCCCACCAGAGTACCAAAAAGAAAGCAGAGTTCCTTTTCCAATTTTCTTTACAACCCTCACACAGAACACCCAATCAAACAATGTATGATCCAAAATGAGACTCCAATCTTTTCACTTGAACCCAAATGATGAGTTTCCCTTCCCTCTAAGCTTCAAGCAATTAAAACAGAACCCAAATGGTGTCCAAACAAGCCCTAATTTAAAATATACCAGTTTTCAATTGGAAGCTTCGCACCAACAACCAATAACCCCACAAGAACCCAGAATGAGCAGTTTGCAGAGACCCTTTTGAGATGTTTTCAGATAGGTAGCCCAAAAGGAACAGAAAGAATCAAATTCTATGGGCAGGGACTCAGAACAGTCCCCTAAATTAGATGTTTGAGACAACCGCTGAATAGTGAATAGTATCAAATGCTTGCTTAACTTATACAAGAATGACCAAATTCACCAACTGGGTACTTGCAGAAAAAGCAAAACAAGCATCAAATTCCGATCTTAAGGGATCAAAGAAGATATACAGAGCTAGGAGCTACAGAGTGGTGAGTGACACCATATAAAGAGAAGAAAAACTTATCTGCCCAACTTAACTGGTGGCATGTATGATTTTAAATGACAGACTAACTACTGCCAACTGCTCTTGCTTTTAAATGATTACAGAACCTAATTTCTCTCTTCTCCCGCACATACCGCTGGAAAAACGAGTTTGATTTCTTCTTGTTTAAATTGTGTTAGCAACCTTGTCTTTGTGTTATAGATTGGTTTAAGTTATAATGATTATTCGTTGAATTCAAAAAAATAATCGATGTAGATTCAATTATTTATATAAAAAAAACAGTAAAACTCATGTTGTATCAAAATTATATCTTATTGAAATCCTATTTAACAACTCTTATCGTATTCATCCATTTAATCTACTTAGATTAAATTCAAATACATTAATTATGTATTGATGTTATCAAAATTTCTCATCCCACCCATATTTTTCTACTTATAATACACATACTAATTTTATATATCTTTTGTTCTTTTACATCTCATAATAGATTGGAGAGGTTCTTCTCTTCAAGTCCAAGCTTGCTTTCTTGACATACCCCTTTTGCTTCTTTTTTTTACTGACACATTTGCCAACTATTCTAACAGACCTATCTTTGCTGTTGCACACTCGATTTTCTTAGTGCCAACTAACCCAACAATACTTTTGAGAAACACCCATTGTGCACCTGAGGTCCATCACCCCCCATGAACTCTACTGTTCTTGTTCATCACTGTTACTCATGTCCCACCAAATCAATCCTCCAAACCATTTGCAATATGAGCATCGTATACCCCATGCAAAAGATACATCCTGAATAACTTGTTATGTGGTAGACACACAGTGCAATGTATGGTCCAGATTGGACAGTCTACAGAAAGTGCTGCTGTTGCACTGTATTGTGTAGTTTCTCTTTTTCTTTTATTGTTTCTTTTTTAAGCTGGAGAACAGTTAAATGTTTTATTTAAATTGATTTGTCAGTGCAATCTTTTTCTTTTACTTTGGGCTTTTGGTTCTCTCAGCGTAAGGAATAATGGAATCTCATCATTAAAATTACCTCATTGTCCTTGTACGGTTCCAGCTGTAGGTGTCTGGACTTTCTAGTGTGTATAGCCTGTACAAAGCCATCAACAACCATACTGGTCAAACCAGAAGTATCTGGTCAACACTGTATAAGGTTGTGATCTTGCTGGAATCGAAAGTTATTCCTACATTAACGGCTCATTTTCTCCCCCATTGATCCAGTGTGGTACAGACCACTGTAGAAGTGGGCCATCATTGATTTTATTCCTCCACTTGTGGGACAGAAGTGACTTGATTTGTGAAATGGAAGAGACCCACATGAATTGATGATGTACAGTGAGAATAATAGACAATGGAAAGGTATGATGGGTGATGATTGAGATAGCACACCTAACTTATCAACGTGGGCACTCACACCAAATCATTCTTCTCTACGCTTCAGATTTGCGTTGGCTGGGACCTTGGATTCGAGATCTAACGTGTTTTCATTTTTTTGTTGAATTTTAAATGGCAAAACTGTAATTTAGGAACAGATGAGGTTTGACTATATTCTGAAATGAATGATTATGTGCCAAGGATTGACTTAATATGTGCTGTTTGGGCCAGCATTATTGAAGTTTAATCTAACTAACAGCATGTTGCTTTCAATTAAGTAATGTTTTATGCAGCAATGTGGGTAGAAAAGGTTTGAAAGCCACACATCAACACATCTAAAAAAGAAAAGTTAGGAAGAAATTAGTCATACTTGGAGAATTAGAAATACACTAAAAGAAATTTTGGAATGATAGAGTTTGATGGACGTACCATAAAGTTTTCCACATTTTTTTCTTGAAACAAAAACTATTTAAGTTGGATTGAGATTGCATTCCTAGAAAAAAATGTATTATGGATTATGGTCTACATCAATAAAGTTTGAATATTTGAATTTTGGGTATTTTCAAATAATTAATTGGAGACTGTTAGAGTGTTAAAAATTGAAGGTTAGCCGGATGCAACCATATTCAATTTGGGTGGAATAACTCGACTTAGAACCAAAATATTCTGTATTCTAATAGAAATTCCTCGTATTTGAGTTGGGATTGTGAAAAAATAAAAATCTAAGTGGATTTAGATCCGGGATGTATTTGCTTTAGAATATTTGGGTTTTGTGGCCCAACCCAAATTTGTGAACGCGGGTATCAACTTGAATTGAACTTAATTTTCAGCCAAAGCTTTGTAAATTGAGAATCAAACCCAAATTTCATCCTAAAAATTGAACTCTCCTTTCATGTTGAATTGAACCCGACTTTGAAGCCGATATTTATAACCCGACTTTAATCCAAGTTCAAAAATAGAAGCATGTTCAGTACTCTAGTAATTCTAAGTTGAGAATTTTATAACTAGATTTAAGCTTACTTTTGCCTTCCAACCCGACTAATCCACCCAAGTTGCAGCATGTGGTGGACAACTTCATGGATGGGTTGTTATATTAACCTCTAACCCCCCCCCCCCCCCCCCCCCCCCCCCCCCCCCAAGGTGTGAACTTCAATCCACAACCTACAAAGCAAATCATGGCATGAAATTAAAAATAATGGGTTAATTATAGTAGAGATTCCTAAAATATAAAGTTTGTTTCATTCTGATTTTCAATATTTCAATTTCATCATTTTAGTCTCTGAAATATTGAATATATTTATATTTGGTCGCTTTAGTAGACAATGTTCAGATTATTAACGATTTTTTATTATAAACATGTCATGTAACGCCTAAATATTGACAAAAAAATAATTTGGATAATTCCTGACCAATTTTCTACCCAAATTTTGGTTAAAGAATACCCAAATTTTACAGTTTTGATCATGAATTATCCAAATTTTGGTCAAGAGCTACTATATTACACATTTTTGGTGAAGAGCTATTTAAATTGTGGTTAAGACTAAAGAGCTAGTCAAATTATTTTTTATCCATATTTAGGTGTCACGTGATAATTTTATTATAAAAAATCGTTAACAATTTAGATGTTTGTTTGAGAGACCATATTCTTCCGAGTACCAAAATAATACAATTGAAATATTAGAGATTAAAATGAGATAAATTTATACATTGAGACTCTCCTGTATAATTGACCCTAAAATAATATTCTGTGGGTAATTTGGTCGAACACCTTTCAGATATCCCCTTGTTTGGAAACAGGTCAGATGCAGGGGGGGAAAGAAATGTTTGCATGTGTTAAACATCAGTGATTTGTACCTGAAATAGTTAATAAAACACCTTAATTAACTTACAAATCCAACCAAATGGGACCCACAAGATCACGCGTGCGGCACGCAATGGGCTTAATCTTCTTATAGTTCCACAGATTGTGGTCCTGAAAAATTAGCAATGATTTGTTTTGATACCTGAGAGAAGAATCTCTTAAAACTTTAGCCTTATCAAACATGATTCCTCTGCATAAAAAAATCACATTGCTCTTTTGCTTTAGTAACTTGGCAGTCCTTGCTTTGATGCTATACAATCTTTTTGTCGTAGGAGGGTTTACACTTTTGAAGAAGCTTTACCATCTCTTCTCTTTATAAAAAGTTGCCACCCCACTTTTCCAATTTTAGAGAGCTATATGTTTAATCTAGGTGAGAAAAAAGTGTAATTAAGTGTATAGTTTGAAAAGAGCAAGATAATTATACCATATTTTTACTTGTGTATTGACGGACAATTTGATTCAAACCTGTAGGATAATGTTACTATTTCATTAAATGATAATGAGCCCGACCCAGAGTAAGCCTAGATCACATATACAGACCAATAAAGACTCAATCACAATTTCATTTGGGTCAAGTCCACCTTCCTGAGAGACCTAGTTCATTGTCAGTGCACGTGGAAATCTCCATCCAAAAAGCGGGAATCTGTGGGAACATAGTCATCAAGGACATATTGCTAGTCTCACGAGATCATCTCGCCCGTTACGAAATAAAGCGAGCTTTAAAGAATTATCCCTCTATTACCTCGCCTGTTACAAGGGTAAGGCGAACTTCACGAAATCACCCCGCTCCTTGTTAAGAGGATGGGGCCTCAATCAGAGCTCCTCGAAGCCAACTTCACTTGCCTATAAATTGTAAGCCAAACCTACACATGGGGGATGTCACACAAATCTCAGAACTCTACACACTTGAGTAATAGACTCTCTGGTCACCGTAGTTATTCCCAGTGAAGTAGATCACCCTGATCAAACCATCTAATCTGTGTCTCTTACTGTGTTGAGCATCCTCCATCATATACACCATCACATCCTTAATTGATTTTGCATAAACACATATATACATCATCAAATTATGCTTTCAAAGTTTCTAATTTATTAGTGGTATGATTTACATTATGGTAGAAGAAAAAAAAACGATATTATACCTCCAAATGATTTTGGAACTTAAGATTTAGTTTTGATTATTC